CCCCGTATAAGCCGGAGCTTAGCAGCGGCGGGACCCACGAGCACGAGGGCCGCAAGCCTCATATCCCTCGTCATCCCAAAGCAACAAGCGAAAACCACATGTCAACGCGCACGTCAGAGACGGCCGCGGCGGGCCCGGCCCGACCTGCGTGGACTCGACGGGCTCCAGGGAGACGCCCGGGGGAGGCCGCGAGTGGCACACATTAGGAATTCTCTGACGCGGATGTGGCGGTGGTGGGGTGACGACGTACTCGACCGCATCCAGGAAAAGAACCTACCGCGCGATCTCTCGCGTGCTTCGAGACATCGATACTCGATCGGAATGTCGCCGTGCTCCCTCACGTTGCGGTGCGGTCTGAAGCACGGCGAGGAGGGCCTCTCTATCGCGAGGAGTCGAGTCAGCCGAGGGCAACATTTCGATACATTATAGCCACTCATGTCTCGGCGGTGTGCTGCACAGGGGTCGAGTGGCCGGGCCATCCATCCACAGCGGCTGTCAGCCAGCTCCGCCGGCTCGCAGGGGAGAAAGAGAGAGAAAGAGAGAGAGAGAGACTGCTTTTATATCGCGCCGGGCAACAAAGGGAGGACGCGCCGTTCGACTCCTGTCGAGGTGTAAAAGAGCGAAAACATGGGGCGGGGATGGGTGTCAACACGCCGCAGCGGGCCGCGAGCATGGGGCGCGGGCTGCACAGAGCGAGCGAGAGAGAGAGAGAGAGAGAGAGAGAGAGAGAGAGAGAGAGAGAGGGGGGGTAGGGTAGGATGACACGGGCTCGTGTGTTCGAATACCAGCAGGGGGTAGCGAGCATATTTTTCTCCCCATATTTTTTCTCCCGCCCGCGCCACCTCCCCTATTTACCCTCCGCCCTTGAACACTGAAAAGTCATCACGCCGAGCCTACATTGCCTCCGCTCTGCTCCGCTCTGCTCGCGGGGGTTTCGAAACGCATTTTCCTGGAGCACATGAAGGAGTACCGCGCCGGGGGTGTGTTGTCTGTCCCCGGGCCGGGCGCGGGGCGGAGGGGAGCAGCGCGGAGCGGAGCGCGCTGTGGGAGGGCGAATGTCATCAGCGCGTCACTCGACGTGCTAATAGTGGCGGAGGAGGGGGAGGGTGGGGGCGAAAGGAGTCGTGGCGAGGATGACGTGACGTCACGGAGGGGAGCGGTATACATATGTAATGAGCAGTGGCGTGGCGGAGCTGAGCGCGGCAACAGCAGCAGCCTTGTTTGTAGTTTTTGTGTCGTGTCCGCGAGGGGAGGGGAGGGGAGGGTGGCAGCCGGTCAGATGTCAGTTGCAATAAAAATGCGTGGCTCGCCAGCCAGAAGAGGGCCGGGGGCCGGGGGGATCTTTGTGGCCCAGTCCGGCCTATCAATGTGTCCGAGAGGCTGTTGGAGCCCTGCTAGCCGCCCCGGCCCCGGCCTCGGACGCTGCGCGCGCGCCGAGGCCTCGCAGCAAGCAGCAGCTGCGCGGAGGGGGTTTTCACAAAACGATGACGACGATGATGTCGATAAGAGAAGGGGGAGGAGTCCGAGGAGTAAAATGGGTGTTTTGTGATGCGTAATACCCGAATGCTTTCTGTAGGCTTAAGCGAGTTATTAATCGCGGAGAAACGGAGAGAGGGGGGACGGGGCTTTGAATGGGGGAAATATGTATAAGAAATTACGGTAAAACAGCTACACACTACATTGCCACGCGTGCTTCTATCAGCGTTTTATGCAAGTTAATAAAATTGTAGCCATTACACAGAGAATCTTCTTTTTGAGGCATGCATATCGCAACAAAAAGGCTTTGCAGAATCAGGGAAATTTTTGTCATTATGAAATAAGTGAAAAAACACGATTATATGCATTCATTTTGGAGCATAAAAAATGCCTAAGCGGAGCATTATGACAGAAAACCGTGAGCTGTGAATAAATTAGTTCATAAGATTTAAGTGTGTAGCTGTGCTATTTACCTGTGGCGTCCACCGTCCACCCACGACTCCACCCTGCCCCGCCCCGCCACGCCCCGCCACCCACAGGGGCTGGGTCCTTTCTCGGAACTGGCCTCAATCGCTTCATTCACGACATTCACGGCGGGACTATTTGTCGGCGACTGTCGCTCGGCCTGCATGGACTTTATTGAGGTGGGTGCCGAGCCGAGCGATCACCGACTTCTCCACTCCAGACCGATAATTCTCATGCACTATAATCCCTATTATTTTCTTCTTAGACCAAGATTCTCTGAATGTCGCTCATTGGTAAGATATGCTGATATCAGCATAAACGCCCCACGATAGTCTAGTCAGTCACGAACATGAATTTAGTTACATATCTGGTAATGATTGTTATTGTCAAGTTTGAACGGCTACAATAAAACGGCCTAATAGAAGGACGCGGGTCGGAGGTTGCAAGCGCCGGTATTTGGGAATGTCGGCTGCTGCCCAATAATCGATACTATCAATCGATGGAAGTAGGTCGGTATCCCGGCGGTGTATGTAAAGGCAAGACTCTGACAGGTGTGGAGGTCGACGGCACCGCCCTCAGCCTCAGCAGCTCCCCAGATTTCCTAGTAACGCACTTGCTATTGTCGTGAAAAACCCCTCCCCCTCCCTTCCCCACTAGGAGTAGACTCTTCGACTCTTCTTCTTTCGCAATGTATGGCTTATTGTTGGGAGTTCTTACCTTCTTATTTGTCGCTACCTGCATTATTATTGAGGAGAGCCCCCCCCCCTCCCCTCAGTTCCCCTCACCTCACCGAGCGATGTGCCGTCAACCTCTTACCCCCACGCCGTGTAACACGATATTTTGTTTTAGACGTCTATCGTATGTGATTGAAAAGGTCAGTTTCCCCGGTGTTGATATTTTTTATCGTATGGGTTCATTTTTTCCTGTCACGGTTGAGTACGGGATGGATCAGGTGATCAAAGTGCCTGCGCCAAGTGTCTATAATGTTCGTTAATAAGCACGTTATTGGCTGGTTGGTTGTGTATTGGCTGCTGAGTCGCCCATGGGGCCTCCAGGTGACTGCTTCAAAGTCTGTAAAAAGTGCTGCAACAAGTATGCATTTTTTTCATCATCCTTCTGTCTTAAAAAATTGTTTTTCTCTACTTCTTTGCATTGTTAATGTATGCCTTACAATGTTTTTGTGAATTGTTTTGTTTGGTTCGCGCGGCGAGATAAGGCGGCATGCCTCCTCAAACTTATTTCCTTCTTTTTTTTCTCCATTGAGTATGACTTACAAATTCGCTGGAAAATGAGTTTGACTTTGGCGAGTCTTTCCCGCCGCGCCAGCCCGACGCGCCTGTAATGCTGTTACTGACGCGCGAAGGCGGTAGAGGGACGCAGGACCTGCAGCTGCGTCTGTTTGTGTTCCCAGGACTCGGCTACATCGCGGAAGGTGCGCCGAAAAACTTTCCCCCTTCGGGAGGGGCCGTCCGTGAGCCCGGCGCGAGGTCCAGCTTAGCGTAGCTCACGCGCGGCCCCTGCCCCCCACGGGTGCGTTGGAGGTCGGCCCGACCGGCCGCCGGATAAGCCCCACCCCCACCGACTGACAAACGAGCTGCAAACGGATGCGCAGTTAATTATTCTTTCCTTGCTATTCTCTTGTTAAATTTCATACTCATTTTCCGGTCAGTCGGTGGCGATGGAGCGGCCCCGGCAGGTCCGCGGCAGAGCTGAGGCCGTCCTCCGGGGCACCCGCCTCTAGCGGGGTCGGTGTTGACGAAGCCAGATCTTAGCTTGTCTCATGCCGCGACATCATCCCCCACCCTCCGGCCCCTCCGGCCCCTCAGGCCCTCCCCCAACCTTGGCCCGAAATGCCTTTCCCTCTCAGCCGCTCTCAGCTGGCTGCGTCCGCCGGGCTACCCCCACCCCCTCCCCCACCCCGGCGCCGCGACGCCCCGCCTCGCCCCACCGCCCCCCGGGGACCGTTTTACCGCCGCAGAGGTCACCGTTCCGCTCCTCTCTCATATTCACGCTTCGACGGCGAAATCTCTCTCTCCCTCCTCAGCCGCGGCGCTGATCGGCCGAGGAGGGAGAAGAGACGGCGGCGCTTCTGCTGCCTGCCGCCGCGTTAAAAGAATAACTCTTTCGCTGGGAAAACAAAGGTGCCAAGTCGTACCTTTCGCTCATTAAATTTTGAGGTTAATGTCTTTGTAAAGGCAGTAAACCCTTTAGACCTTTTAAAGATGTCCACTTAAAACAACACATTTCCATTTTCAGTGTTGCACTCTTAACCTTTTGCCCAGTAACTTATTTAGTCTTGTGCTGTTGTGATTTATCGAGGTATTATTTAGTACGTACTGAATGTTTTCCTAGTATTACTACCGTCTTCCCAGTATTCTACTTACGGTGCTAGGAAGACGTATATAGTGCTACTAGAAAAACTTGAAGTAGTGAAGAATTTCTAAAGTTTCTTGAAAACTTAAGTAGTTACTGGGCAGATTTTCTAATAACAAGTAAACAAGTTGAGAGTGTGGTGCGTAACAAGAAAGAATAATGTGTGCACTCGGACCTGGAGGCTGGGAAAACTCTGGTGGATGAAGGAGTGTTGTATTCCACTCTTGCAGGTGGGTGG